CTGCTCCATTTTGTGCAGTCCCCACAACCACGGCCCTGAGGGACACAAGGAGTGGGGAGAGCCTGGTGAGCCTGAGCCCGAGGCGAGGCGCGCAGCCGCCAGCCTTGTGTGCCAGCATCGCCACCAGGAGGTGGAGCGCCTGTAGGCTGCTGCAGGAAGGAAAATGGGTTCTTCGTGACCACAGCCGTGTCTGCTTGCCCTGCACGGAGCACGAGCCCGCAGCGCCCTGCGATGCCTGGCAGCGTCCGGCGCCAGGAGACGAGGCTCCATGTGCTTGTGTGGGCACTCAGCTCAGACATGCAGGCTTCACAAGCATCTTATTTCATGGGGCTAATAAGCTGCTGGCATGGCACAAACTCCAAGTGATGACCTACAGCAATGACCTTCATTACCCAGGGAAGGCCTGAGAGGCTTTAAGTGTCTCTATTAAGAGCATTTTGTGGCTTTTGCCACCTAGTCTTTCATTAACCCAGAAGTAACCACTTCTGAACATCACAGGTTCCCAGTGCTGACAAACAGCGCTGCAGCTCCAGCCGGGCGCAGCTCCTGGTTGGGAACATGAGTGTGGTGTCCCAGCAGCAGGCAGAAAACTCAAAGCTGTCATCTGACTGTCCCCCAAAACCTGACAGCTTCACACAGCTTGATGGCCCTGCAGCCCAGTGTCCTCACACGGAGCTGCAGGTGCTGCTGAACCTGGGTATGTGGGGAGCCAAGAGGAGGTTTCAGGTCCTCACAGAGGTGATGCTCTGCAATAGCATTCCAGAATGGGAGCAGAAACCGTATTTATTTCTGGGGGATGGAGCGGGGCCAAGAGGAGCAGGGCCCTTCCAGGGCAATGGATCCAACTGCTGGGTCACCCGGAACAAAACCCACCAACCTCAGCAACCAGCTTTCAGCCTCCCAAAGCCCGCCAGGGATTTGTCCTTTGTTCCCATCTTTGTAAAACTACAAAGAACCAAAGAGAAGGGGAACAGAGAAGAAAAGGAAAAAGCGCTGGTGTGCCTCCATTGCACTCCTCACCTCCTCATGACAGCAGCAGGCCCAAGTGGGAACCAACTGTTCGTCCCCAGTGATGCCCTCAGCTTTACAGTGCAAACAAAGCCAACTCCTATACGAAATGCCTGCTGTATTTTTATAGACTTGCACTGCCTCAAAGAACAAAAAAGAAAAGCAAAACAAAACAAATTGAGCAAAGGGCAGCACGATGCAAGTGCCAGAACAGCACCGCTCAGCTCTTATTCCTTCTGACAGGATCACGGGACGTTGCATTTGCCATTTAACACTAACTTCTCCATCACAAATTAAGGCTACGGACAAGGTATTAGCACAGCTCGGTTGGGACACCATTCAACACGCTTTATACCCTTAATCTTCTGCTAAGTTTGTTTGCCCGAAGAAACGTTTTTGCGACCCAAAAGCTTCCAAACCCACTATCCCAATTCCATCAGCACTGACGTGAGAATGATTTCTAAGATTACCGACCTGCTTGCAAGGTAACAGCAGGAACCGCTGACATCGTCATCTCTTTTGGCTGGCACGCCTGCTGCACTTGGCAAGCGAAGCCATAACCTTACTAAAATGCTTATCTTGTTCAGTTCTTTGACAGAAAGCAAACAGCCTAATTTGCGTCTCTCTTAATCCTACAGCCTACCACAGCCACCACTATGAGCCAGCACAGCTTTATTTCTGACTCAGCCCCCAGTCAGCTTTCAGAATCGCTCCAGCCTCCGCCATACTCACTACAAACTGCATCACCAGAGGGAAAAAAACACAGGAAACTCACCCTGAGTATCTTAACAAAGACGAATGCAATTGCTCTGTAACACAGTTAGCATTTTGCCCTACTTCCAGCCTCCGCAACACAGAAGAAAACCCAAAATCAGCACAGGGGTTTTGCCCAAATTAATAGCAAGTGCTAAGAGTTAACAGACTGATGATTGCTATCTGGAGACGGCTTTGACTGTGAGAGATACAATAAATCTTTTCAAGTTGCGACAAACGTCTTAGCTAATGTAGCCCACATTCTATGCTTAGATATTCCTGCGATGCAATCCAACATTTGGTTTTAGTTTTTTAATTATAACTAAGAAACAAACTCCACTGCACTTTAATCTCTCCTTAGCCTGAATTTGCACACGGAATTACCATCCCCACCACGTCCATCTTTCCCACACTCAATATTCAAACCAAAGGGAAATGAGACATTCTTTCCACAAGGGTATTTTTTTGATTATAAAATTGCAGTCAAAGCAGAGAATGGATACTTCTAAGATTCCAAACATTAAATCCTTGTCTCTCCCTCAAGGAAATCTCTGCAGTGTAGGTAACACCCCGCACCCTTACACTGCAAGGCAAGAATTCAGAATTCAAACAAAACAGACCAGAAATCCACTTGACAGATCGAGGAGGATAACCAAGGACAAGGAGCTACCCTGCCTGTCAGCACACACAGGAAAATGCTTCTTGGACCCACTGCCATCCAGGCTCCATTCCCATGGCTCCCACAGCACACCTGGAAGGCCAGGTTTGAGCACCCATAGCACTTCAGTGCCAGCAGGTATTGCATCAATGAGTAGCAACAATCCTTGACGTGCTGGATGAGCCAGCCACCCAAAGCTGATGGGCACGACAGGGGAGAACAGAAATCCACAGGCAGCAGCATAAAGACCCGTGGGTTTTTTGAATGAGTTGATGTGATCAGACCCTGGAACAGGCCAAGCCAGGCAGTCCTGCATCTGTTACTTCACAGACCCTTTCACATGCATAGCGCTTCACAAACACTCAAAATCTTTGGCTATACCTCTGCAACCCTATCCTACAACACCAGCTGACTATTGTGCCAAATCCTGATAACATCAGCAGGTCAAAAATGCAACTGGATGATTGTATTCCTGCAGCTCCAGTTGCAGGTGCCTGGGTTTCACGTCCCATCACCTACATCTCACTGGAGGTGAGGCAGAGGGAAGGAGGTGGCTGAAGGAGAGCAAGCCTTGATCCAAATCATGAGCAAGAACACTTCTCATTAGCGAAGAAACAGAAAATGCTATCCTGCATCTGGGTGTCACACAGCCCCAAGACAGAAGTTCATTTCAGAAGGAACAAGACAGCCTGCATGCTGGAGCTGGCGAGGTTGGTGAACCTCACACAGGAGGACCCTCCAATCACAGCTGCCCCAGGACAGAGCCTCTCAGCTCAAGAGCCAAAGGAGCAGGCCAAGCAGGGCTGATGATAGAAAAAGACAGCAGGGGTTGTCCTGAGCAGGCAAAGCATACTCAGTCTCTTTTCCGCCCTCTGTGCTTGCATCTCTCACAATTCTTCTTCTTGGAAATGGTGTGTTTGCAGGTGTAAACGTGCATTTCTACCCCAGAAGCATAACGTGACTCAAGGGAGTGGCAGAAAGGTGTGATCACCATCAGTGGTAGGTCCAAGCTACACAGCACAGCACAGCACAGCACAGCACAGCACATGCACTGTTGGGAAGGGGGCTACACTTGGCTCGGAGAGGGGCTTGTTCAGCATCACGGAGACCTGGGAGCAACCCTCACACCAGCAAGGCATCACAAGGCAGAGCCAGGCTCAGAGCTGAGCATGGCAGGATGGCAGACAAGAGGTGCACGCTGGAACTGGAGATGCTCAGAATGGGTATAGGAGAAACTCTCCTACTGAGGGTGGCCAAAGCAGCAGAGCTGGTGCCCCATAGGGCAGTAAGTCTGCCTCCTCGCCTGGCTTCAATAACCTGCTTGGAGCAGAAGGCTGGACCAGAAATCTCCCAAAGTCCCATCACACCTGAATTGCCAAGTGAATCCCTGATTCCCAGGCTGAATCCCAGCTGAAATCCTGAATGAAATGCTTCATCTGAGATACAGCACAGCGCCTCAGACACACACAGCCATCCAGGTGTATGAATCACTGCAAGCCTTTCAAAAGCAAGCTGCTCGACTACACCCAGCACGTGCCTTCCAGCGCTCACCGCTCAGCCCCGTGCGTATCCATGTGGCCTTAAAGAATGCTTTCTGACAAACAAGGACCTTTCCGTGGATTGCAGGGGAAGGGCTCTGCTCAAACCAGCACCAGCCTGAGGCCACAGGGCTGTGCTGGACCGGGCCACCCTGATCCCCACGTGGATCCAACTCCGGCTGCCAGATCCCAGCTCCAGCCCAGTAGCAGACATTTATTCCACAAACACAAACACACACGGACGGTCCTGCCGTGGCTCCAGCTGCCTGCAAAGTTTATTTTCACATCCTGCATGCTCCCAATAATGCCAAGGCAGAGGCCCACACTGTGCTGCACCTGGCACCCGTGGGCTCCTCTACAATGGTGGCACTGCCACTGCTGGATGGGACCACTCCATCCCACCGACACACAGAGCCCATGCAGCACTCATCCACAGCAGCCCAGTCAGAGCAGGGCAAAGCTCAGAAAACTCAGCATTAAAGTCTGCATATGTGCTCAGAATAAAAAAAATTCAGTTTTCCGAAAAGCTTCCATAATCCCTCCCAGCAGTAAGGCAGCTTGTGCAGCTTTGGCACAGCAGAAGCAAGCACAGCATCGAGAAGAATACCACTGAGTACTGGGAATGGGCTCCACTCCTCCACTCACACAAGATCTGCAGTTCTCTGTAAGACCCAGAAACGGTTGCCAGACGAGTTGCAGGACTCGGAAAGCCCTAGAAATCTACAGCGTACTTTTTTCTACTGCTCTTTTTGCTGTGTTTTCCTTTCAGCACAGCACAGCAGCGTGTTTGTGCTGGCCAAGCCTACCCACCTCCCTTCCACCACACCTTCGAGCAATTCGAGCACAGGAGATACAGTATAACCTCAAATATTTAACCAAAGGATTAAGCTATTCTCTCAGCAGGGGCTCTGCCCACAATGCAGCTTCCCCGTCGGCTGGCAGGCCCTGCGTGGCTGCCTGCTTTGTGGCCAGCGAGCTGCCCCAGGCTACAGAGAGCTCTCCATGCTCTCCTCCAATACTTGTGCACCAATGTTTCTGCTCACCGGCTCCCGGCCATCCATTGCCTCCATCCAAAGCCTTCGGTCCTCCTCCGAAAGCGCCTGCATGGTGATCACGCCGGGCCTGCAGGGAGAAAGGGAATACCATAAATAAGGTGCAGGTCAGAAAACAAGACACAGATTAAGTTCTTGTGTAAAACAGAGAAAGAAGGATGACGACCTTCTTCCTCGCCAGGCCCCAGCACGGTGCTGCTGATGCCAGCCTAACCGCTCTGGGAAGTCCCTGCAGGTCCCAGCCAGGACCAAAAAGGAGCAGAAGGCATCTCCAATAATCAACACACATTTGCAGTGGTTTTACAGTATGACAGGCACCCCGTGACGCTGCACCCCAGACAGCTCACCTGCCTTTGGGCTAAAAGCACATCCACGTAATGGACACGGAAGGCACCTGAGCAAGCAGGACGCCCCTGTGTCCCCGCACTTCATGTCCCACCACCCCAAGCACCAGCTCACGGGGGGACCTTCTGCTGCATCAGGAATTTCAACACTTTTGTCCCCGAAATGCTCACATCAGTGTGACCGTGCCGTGCCCCTGACCCCTGCCCTTACCCACACAGCAGCCCCCAAGCTACACGCTAAAACCAACTCTGTGGCTGCTTATTTATTTTAATGAGAAGGGAAAAGAACAGGCCCAAGTGCTGGCACGCAAAGCAGGGGGGGTCAGGGAACAAAACCAGCCAGGCGTTCGCCTCAGGGCCAGCACCACCTCCACCACTTCCAAGTGACCTTGCTCTGCCCTTCCCACACCAGGAGCTAACACTCAATTATCTTGTTCTGTCACCAAAGTCGTGACTGACTGAGCACAGCAGAGCACCCTCCAGCTCCTGGTGCAGCACACCATGGAACACAGGTTGCCCCTCAGCACCCCGGGATCCGCAGGGGCTCAGTGACACAGCTGAGGTGGCAAATCCAATGAGTTTTTCTGTTCTGTTCGGTTGGCCCGGTCTGTTCCATTCCAGGCTATTTTCAGATGCATTAGCACAGTGCAGCTGCTATTTCTGCAGGAGGAGAGCGGGCAGAAGCCCTGGCAACAGGGAAGACACAGGCATGTATCCAGCATGAGCAGGAGTGGCTGTCAGAGCTGTCTGCAGCAATGCCTGGGGGATTTTAGGGTTCATTCTCAGAAGGTATTGCAGCAGAGAGAGCGTAATGCTGCAGCTCCCAACCCAGCAAAACACAGCTGCCCCAGCCCTGCAGCAGGAAACACGCAGGGATGAGGCAGAAAGCCATGGGAGTTGCATGCTTTGGGACCACTAAATGCAGAACTCCACACGGCCTGGGAACAGGGCTCACTTCTGACTTGCACTTTCCAAAAGCGATCCAGCGGGAGAGGATCACTGCACAAAAGCTGTTCAGTTCTTGGTAGGAGCTGATCCTCTGTCAGAGATGACAGCGTGAACAGGGATGCTCAGTGTGGTGGTTTTGGCCCGTTCCCATCACTCTGTGGTACTTAAGGGCAAGGAACAAAGAAATAACCCCTCGCCAGCCAACCCCAGGGCTCACTCGCAGCACGCGCAAGGCAGCCCAGCGCAGGTTCGCAGCAGCAGCAGCAGCATGCTCAGGCTTGCAACAAATCCAGGTCCAAGTAAATCAGACATAATGTATTTGATCTCCGCTAATCCTATTGGTGAGTCATTCCATACTCACCAGCTTAGTGGTTTGGAAGTTTACTCATTTTGAAGGGAAGAGGAAACCACTTAACCATCACCCCATTTGAGAGAGAAAACGCTCAACAGCCAGCACCAAATGCTGTCAGCACAGAGAACAAAGCTCAGTGCTGTGCAGACAACGTGGTCTGGGGGAGACAGGGGCAGCAGGAGAAGGGCTGAGGGGCCAAGGGGCTGGAGACGGGCTGGGGGCAGCTCCCTCCCCCTCGGTACAGGCAGGCGGTGGGCAGCTCAGCCCAAGCTCAGGCCTGCTGGGGGGGGAGCTCCAGCAACCCAGGGAGGGCAAAGGAAATAGAGATCTCTGTCTCCCGTGAAACATCAACACAAACACATTGAAACTGTTCACTCGAGTAAAATTGATGCTGGCCCCTAAGAGAACTGACAAGGTCCCAGAAAGACAGTGCAGGTATCTCCAGTGCCAGGTTCCCCCACGCACAGGACAGAAGTGATAATGGGAAAATGTTTGTTCTGCCTTTGAGCGATAACAACTCTTTGGGCTTCACTTCAAAGCCAAACTTACCAGCGTGCAGGGAGGGGCTGCAAACCCGAATTAAAAATCCATTTACATTGCAAACAGCTCTGCATTTCCTCCCACAGTGCTCATTTGCCAGAGCATCCATTGCACCACTTTCCCGAGCACAACCATCTTCCTGGCTGTGACGCATTCCAAATGCACCCCACACATTATGGCTCATCCATTATTCATTGGGACCGTGCCCACGGGGTGCCACGCACTCAGGTTGGGATGGCCGGGCCAGCATCCCACCCATCCCAGCAGCACAAAGCTGTCCTCAGCCCCACATCTACAGCCAGCCCCACATCAACAGCCAGCCCCACATCTACAGCCAGCCCCACATCTACAGCCAGCCCCACATCTACAGCCAGCCCCACA